ATGGGACCTTTTGAGCAACTTAATCGCTTCTGTGCACTCGGCCGCGGTGGTCATAGACCATTTATTCATCCGTTATGTTCGGTGGTCGGAAACTCCACAACATTTGGCTGAAGATTTAGACCACCTTTCCGAATAGCGTAACTTTTTCTAGCTTACAGGGTTCAAGGACAATTTAGACTTGCGCCCACTTATCAAGGGACTCCCATTAGCCGAATTAACTCACTCACTGCACGCAAAACTCACTGAGAGCTCCAGAAGATGATCGGGTGAGCCATTCGTCCCATACGCGTAAGCACTTCCCTCCAGCGCATCACGAATCCAGAAGGAATGACATAACCATAACAAGACGCTAATGCCCCATCAGTGGCCCAATACGGCCGGCGTTTTCGTCAACGGCGTCTCCAAACGCCGGGATGCCACATATGTCACCATCGAGAGTAGCTTTCATGGCGTTTGGATAAGCAACCCGCCGCTACAGACAGGGGCGCAAATGCAGAAAACCATCGGGTAATTGTTGTATTACCTCAGGCATGAGGTTTATTTTTAGGTTACTCCCTTTATATCGAGGCCTTAGTGGCTGACCAGCCGCTTCAAGCGACCATAAATGCTAGCACTGCAGTATCTTTAGTTAATTGCCGGGTGCCAGCACAGCCCTATGTATCCTGAAGGTGGCAGGGCAATCCTATTGTCTAAACTGACAACGGCAAATGGCCCACCTTTAATTCGGCCCTGCTCTATATCAATAGCAGTCCTATTTCCATGCTTCATCATGGAGCACATTTTTTATCATAGTCCCTCACTCAATGGGAGGTATACTACTCGACCTGGACTTCCTCGCAAAACAGGGTTGCTAAACTAAAGCCAGACGGTTGACAAAACAGTCTTACCGGGACGAGGACGGACCACATCTTTCCATTTCCTTCCAATAAAATGGCGTCCTATTCAACGATACGGATTCGGTCCCGATTACTCTAACGGCTATAAAGAACATCCTTCCAAAGTCAAATAAATCCATATTCGAGACAAAGTTCCCAAGGATGCTTATGTTAGACATTCGAAATATTATCCCTTGGGGTGAGTGGTTACCAAGTCGAAGAGATTACAATTACCACACAAAAGATACGGGCTCAGAAAAGCCCATTCGGCAACAACTGAGTCGAAAAGCAGCAACTTTTTAGGGGGAAATTGTGACTTCACTAGGTATGATACCGGTCACATATGCGATTAGGTCTCTATGTTCTTCGTGGACCTCATCGGACACTTTAGTTCCCAGAAAGATAGAAAACTGCGTTTTTATCTAGACCACGGACATGTTAATGCAATCACAACACGCGACTCATCCTGACTGCCGCGCACTGAATGCACACTCGATGGCCCGCCGGGTATAAAGGGTTCTTCACACTAGCTTTTAAGTTGGGCTACTGACAGGTGGAGACAAAGCCCACATATCGTCAAAAGGTGGCATTCATTCCTTCAGAAAATTGTCCAAAGTCAAAAAATGCCGTTCGGACTTTTTGACGTCGCTGTCACACTTCAGGGACTAATGTTAGTAGTCCCGTCGCAATTATGTCGACAAAAAGGTCCCATATATATGGATGGGGTGACTGTCCTCGAAAAAACCATTATGCCACACGATGGAAATCTTCCCGCCGTGCTAGCCGCGTAATGGGAGACCGGTCTGCGACTTAATTCCAAAATTTCAGTCTCGCCGAGTGTAAGAGACTTATTTGAGACGTGGGGTCAGCACTACCGGCATTTTAGCACATAAAAGTGAAATGAGTACCATTCACTACCGGCCTGTTTATCAACCCTCAATAGAAGTTATGGGTTTCAGTTGAGTAGCCTGATAATACCGGCCCTTTATAGGCAGTTAACCGGCATAACCAAACAATTATACTGGCTTTCGACGAGCTTAGGGCTAGGCTGATGTAGGCCATTATGTTAACGAGAACTGAGTTCCGAGCACTCACATGATTAATATGTGGGCAGAATGTGAGCATGCTAGTTGATTCGGCTGCTGATCAAAAATCAATATGCTATGGCTATATGATCAAGCAACTGCGTAACAAACAATACGTAAGTGCACACCAAATAATTCGCCACATATGCCCGGAAAGCAGGATGGACGCTGCCCAAACAGTCGCAAAGCAAATACATCAAACTGACCACAAAGGTAACAAAAAACCAACTTCTATCTGTACTCTCAAGATGTTTATGAAGAAAGTATTATAGCCACTGACCAAACTTTCAACCCGCTTAAAATGCCCAAATCGATCGACCAAATAGATATCCCAACGAATAAGTAGAAATCTGAGTTTTCTCACAAACGCGTCCTGCGAACCTCATCAGATCCTTGAAGAATTCCTCTGGAGGAAAGTAGCTCTGAGTAAAACTTAGATCAACACTTCACCTGGACAATAATAACTTCGGAGAATGTTAAGATTCAGGAACTTAGGCGTGATGGATGCGTTCGCCGATATATGCAAATGTGTGCAGACGGAAATCAGAATGAATTTTAATCGCTTTTCTTACATACGATGAAGCACTATACAGCCCTTATAATAATTTTGATACAAGATTAGGGGTCCTATCATAGCAAGTAAGAATAACTTTACATGAATTTGAGGACAGGTAGACAGAATCTATACGATACTTAATTCATAGTTACTTAAGAAGTCGTATGTTAAGAAGAATAATGAGCGAGCAATGAAAAAAACTCCTAAGAAACAGACAAAGTGAATATGACAGGATTAACATTATAGGAGCAAAAACTATCGTTCATGAATGCCTAAAATGCGGACAGGACCGGCCTGCAAGTGGCGATGTATAACGGATTTCATGAAGGGATAAACATGCGGGTCAGGCAGGACTGGCCTGCATGCGGTATCGAGTAAAAGGGTCGAAACGGACATCATTAAGGCAGAATTCATATGCCGGATGAGGCCGTTCACGTCAAAGTGTGAAGGCGGCAGGACAAGTGGAACACAAGCGCGACTGGTCACAGTCCGTTTCGAGTCCAGCCGAGGAGGGGTCAAGGGAGATGCGACCAAACTACTGGTATATGGTAAATCCAGAGGGTTCCGCCAAGGGCGTCAATAGAGCGCTTGGGGTCGGAATGAGGAGATAACCACAAGAACCACGAAAATAAAAAATAGCATTTCTGATGAGGGATACTAGGGAACGCAACTATAGACAAAAGAAGGAAATGTGAACGCAAACAGTAATTTAATGGCGGCGACCTAAATTCCCGGTGGCTGTTTCTCAATGTCATGGAGAAAGTTGTCCTGGAAGGATGGGGAAAATAAAAGTTTAGTTGAGTCAGTATTCAGATAAAGGCGCAGCCTTCTCTTAAAACTATGTAGATTGTCTGAAAATCTAATATTTATTGGAAGGTTATTCCAGAGGAAAGTATACCTGGGAAGGAAAAAAGAGAGCTTAGGGGTGGAGGAAGCGGCAGGAGATATAACCAAGGAAGAATTGCGAAGATTATATGGGCGACTATTAGGGGTAAGTGCTGAAATCCGTGGAAGATTTTAACTATTATTAATGCAAAAAAGGAGACAGAAGCCTGCTTCCAGTCTTCGAACCCATAACAATTTTAGATTAGTTGTCTGGCATCTATCTGAGTAGGGGGTGTTCTGTGCTTACGATTTTTCTAGTAAAATTTCTTCGAACACTTTCAACTTTTGAAAGACTAGTCTCGAACATCAAACAAACAAATGAGCAAAAATACTCGAGAATGGGAGGTACAAACATTCTATAAAGTCTTAATTTAATTTCGCCAAGGTAGAAATTGTAGGGAATAAAGCCACATATCTGGGAAGCTTTGGTCGCCATTCTGTCAGCGTGTGGCGCGAGATCAAGATTGTTGGTGTAGCTTAAACGAAAATCCTTAATCGTGGTACATTCAGTCATAGGTGTGCCTTGAAAGAACACCGGTTGGAGTAGCCTATCAGGTCCAAAACACATATAGCGGCATTTAGACGGAGGGAATTCCATTAACCATTTTGACCTCCATGGTGAAAGAGCAAGCAAGTCGGCATGGATTTGCTCCAGGCAATGAAGGGTCGTAAATTTATTGAACGAATATACACATTTGAGGTCGTCAACATAAATAAATAACTTAGCATGTTTAACCGCTAATGAGATATAATTCATGCACAGCAGGAGCAAAAGAGGATACGGTAGAGATGGTGTTATTATGATGTACATTGCAGTAGACTTCGGGGCGTGGTCATGCGCGTAGTCTTCTTTGGCCCCCATAAAACCTGTTAAAGCTGCAAAAGGTAAACTTTTTGAATAATATATTCACAGCACGTAGTCAGCCTAAGGAGTGGCTTACCCAATGAAGTAATCTAAGACAAGTTTCCAATTTGAGCTGCGAGAGTAAAGACGGGGTACATAATCATTAGTAGAGGTAGACAGTTCAGTGATTTAATAAGTAAAACGTTGGTTCCCCATCTGTCAACTCCCTGTTTTGTGGACGTCAGCCTGTTTTCATCTCGAGGAGATTAGCTGTCTTCTTCCTGTCATTGTTAGTTGCCTGTTGTTTTTTCATCTTATTTACCTTTCCAAAAATTTTCCGGCTATTTCACTGTATTTGTCTTCTGCCCAGCTCGTTTTAGACTCCTTATCCCAGTTTTCCATATCATTTGAGCGTGTGGGCTCACTTCGACAGAATCACGTCTGATGCTGTCCTAACGTTTAAAGTGCTGGCGCTCGTTGCTGTGTTAACTTCGCCGCCTACCCTCTTCTACAATTTTGCTGAAAATTCATTTACTTAGCTTGGGATTCACGCCTGTACAAATTCTTTCGACAGAGAATAAATAAGTTCAGTAGGGCTTAATTCCCGAACGGTGACTTGTTAGCTGACACTTCATAAATGCTGAGCAGACGATTGTTGAAACCGATGGTTTATAACGCGGGAAGCATAATTTTTTTCGGGGCTCTCGTTAACGCGTTCTTGAAGGTGAGGAAATGCTTTTTAAATAAAACGTAGCATGTGTGACCATCACGGACATTGCGAACATTCGATTGAGGAGGAAGACTTTTCCATATCTTTCAGTCTGTTCAAGTACATTGACTTGCCGAACCTCCAGTGCCTTAATGAATGTTCTCCGGGTTCTGGGAAGTTCGTGTTTAAGCCATATGAAGTTAGTTCACCCCCTAGCATCGTATGATAATATTTAGGATAGGAAGACACTCTCTCCTTTCGTCGAAAGTGATGTTGATGCGGAACTCCTCTTTAATATCCCATTTACTGGTTCAGTGAAGTTGAAAGGAGTAATTGTTGCGGGGGAAGACGACGAATCACACCCGAGTCTAGTACGACTCTATAAAAATCGCCCTTTTATGACATTCTCCGACGCCGAAGTACATTTATTATCAGCCTTACTTTTGCACTAATCCAGGGAGAAGCAGACCAAGAAATTGAGCTACACACAGACATGCAAGGCGAAATTATGTATCCCTGCAAAGTGACGAAGTTCTCGAACGTTCATCACTTAAGTATCCATATAGCCAAGAATTTCGGAGCTGAGCAGACAAAAATTCATTACATTGGACTTCGTGGCGACTTTTCTGAAGCCCAGCGCCAGGGCATTGTTTTAACGAATTACGAACTCACACCGAACATTTCTGATCATAAGGCAGACATTGTCAATAGCACAAGCCACTTTATAAAATAAACCCGTATCTTCCTTTTTTCAGTGCATTCTGACTGACAATGACCCCTGGGGATCAGTTTTACCTTCACATGCTGAAGCAGATCTCGGAGGTCCCGTTTCCAGCCAAGCATAATTTTTCTAAGGCTGTCGCCACAGAATCATTCGAAACTCCGGAAAAAGGTTTGAAAGTCCTAAGACAACAGATTCTTCATCACTACTCACGTCAGGAATACTTTCGCCAAGCTCACAATGAAGTAGTTGCGCAACTGACAGCCTTAGCCCCTAGCCTGCCCGATTGGATTTTCGACAGCGTTAACGTGTCTGAGAATATCTTCCCAGGAGGACGTCAATCAGAAAATGTAGCGGTAGATTCAGCCCCTGATGAGGAGGTAGATGATTCCGACATACTGGGACCAGACATGCTGCAGTTCATGCTGCAAACGATTCGTCACAGGGAGGAAAGGGACAAGAAGAAGCAAGCCGCCAACGAAGATGAGTTTGCGTTGCCGCCAATAAAGTGTGCAGCACCTCCAAAAATCCTTCCTGAGGGCGATCGGACACTTACCGAAATTTCCAAAATAGAAACTTTTATTCAAGATTATTATGACTACGTCAGCGAGTGTCGTGAGGCACCGCTATGGCCTGTCCTCCCCTTTAGAAAATGTACATGAAAAACCTCTTTTTCGCTCATAAACCTTTCTAAAGTAGCTTATACTGAGTCCGTATCCCACGGAAGCTCGTACCCTCATTTTGTGCAGGCATGACCTAAGTTCCGAAGCATTCTGATCCGAGACACATGCCCGTTATGGCACGAAATTGCTTGTCAAGCCTGCTTTAGAGAGGCTGGGAGGATTTGAGGGCTAGAAATTGCCGTCAAGTGGGCGTTTATGACCACCACGAGGGAAGCCGGTGGCTGCGGATTTTCTTAGTCAACGGCGTGGAAGGCCACAAAGTTTGGTTAACATATTGGCTTGACCAGGCTGGTTAGTTTCATTTAGTGGAGTTTAGCTGCGGCTTTGAATCTACCACGTGTCCGATTCAGCCAGTGTCTTGGTTGTTTGGTTTTCACTTCTTCCCGTCCGGCTAGAGAGGACTACTAGACGTGGCGAAGGAAGCGTGCAGTACGTAATCCTATAACGACGAAAAGACAGGGAGGGCTTTCACTGCCTTGCAAACCAGTCAGGTATTCATTTATGGTTATCCTCAGACGGGCGCCCTCACGGTACCTGCTTTCGGTTCCAGTGTATGGCCATTCCTCACGAAGCCCACACGTTCTCGTGCCAAAATATGGGTGTCGTCAGGTATTTGAAATCTTGGTCAGGGGGCGCTTGGACATGGTTTACTACGTCAGTCTAGTATGTCTCCTGAAGGAGTCAGCGTTAGCACTTAAGTAGCATAAGGCCAAACGCCTCGGTAAGGAGTTCTTCGGTTCTCTGATCAAGCGTCACCTCGCGACAACAGACCACGTTTCAGTAAAGTATCCCTTCCGGCACGCTTGGCTGTTGACTTTATAAAAACCGGACACTACCCAATTTCAATAAACCAGCATTACACACCCCCTCACGCAGAGCACGACATTCTCGCATCTGGCGTTCGACCGTGGGGTTGTCTAGTCAGTTATGTCATGGCAGTGTGTCCGTTCCATGGTACGTCGTGGTCTCCCAGCACCGTCGTTCCCGCAGCGACTCTACTCAGGGTAGACCGGAGTAAATCCTGCCATTGAACTCACGTATCATCATCTTCGGGCAAGTCGGCCACCACTGCCCATAAACGCCTAAGTACATTTGGCACTTACCTGACCAGGCAAAAATTTAGCTGGTGGGATAAGTACCGGTGAAGATAATGGTCAAAGGTCCAGTAAGTTTGCGGGGGACAAAACATCGCGCCACTCTACGCCATCCAACGTAACACCCGGCGTGCACACGACTCCGTCAATAAGCAAAATTAGCACTCATCACAATGAATGAGTCGATACTTGAGAGCGCCAAACGTTAGATAAGGCCGGCCAGTTAGTTGCTTTGAATTACCCAACGGTTCCAACGTCGTAGTTACCTGCCAGCACCGAGAAGAAATTATTTTCAAATGGAGCCCACAAAATGTATTGAGATTCGATATTCAATAAGGAAATAAACACTAAAATATCCGTCAATTCAGAGCAAGAATAAGTTTGGAACAACACAGTTTTGCACCAACGGGAAGCCACGATCACAATGATATAGGGGTAATTGAGTGATCAAGAGAATGGGATATTATGCTGAACGGTATGTGAAGTCAAATTTGCCGAGGGAGACTGAAGGGCTTAGAGGATCGGAATGTAGGAGTCAATTTTGGCCCGGTGCCTTTGTGAAACGCACTCGGCGATCCAGACAATGTTGCGCATCTCCTGTTCCTTCAGTTTGATATAAGAGTAAAACATGCCAAAATGGAATTGCTGCATGAAGGATTCCAAGTTCAGTTGGACCTGAAGGAGAAAACACTGAGCTCAGAACAGTTCAAGATGAATAACAGACTACCGCAAGAAACGGCAGTTAGCAGGCGAGAAAGACTATTCGGGTCGACTGCAATGCTTCTGGGGGCCTCGGTTACCCGCATTTGTTGACAGGGCAGGCCAAACTCTCAGTTCAGAATTTATTCGCCATACCTTTGAAGACCGTTTTCGAAGGCGCGCGGTTGGTGTCAGGAGCGCAGGTTGCGGGATAGTACTTTAAAGAGCTGTTTCCTGGCAGACGATACCATTATTCTGCTCTACAACCAGGTCATGCCAATGAGCGCCGCTCACCCGGCAAAAGCACCGACCACAGCCCGACCTTAAGGCCATGTGGGTTCGAGTGCGGCTGGCCAGCAACGGAAAATGAACCAAAACAGTAACTAAAGTCTGTCTGGTTTCTGCCAATAAACATACACAATTAGCATAACAGGTAAAAATAAAAGACTGGTGACGGAAGCCACAGACGGACAGTTGATGCATGATTGCCGCAATTTGATCATAACTACGTTGGCCGGGCGGCCGATCGCCTGGTCACTTAGGCAGCCTGGACATCCACTCTCCCCTGCTGGGCCGGCTTCAGAAAACGGCCTAGCGTGGTATAATTAGTGATACGCAAACCATCTAGCGAATGACATAGGAACTATATGCTCGACTATCAACCTAGACAGCTGTGAGTGCAGCATGTTACAACTCCATTTCTCATTACCAATGAAGTCTAGTACATGCATTAGATACCCGAGCGCAGGCGAGAGGACAACGAGATTCGTGGCTCAGTGACTAGGGGCGTTAAACTTCTAGCCAACAGGTCGCGGAAGAGAGCCCAAGGTGTTCAACGCCTCGGAATTGGGTATGACTGGCTGGCGACGACTAATAAGCCAGAAATGGCCACCCCAGTCTGCCCTGCCTTTGTCGGCAATGCTATTCTACACTAAATACCAGCAGCTGGGCAGTTAGTGTACGCGTCTCGAGCATTCACGGGTGACGATACTAGTCGAAATTGTGCATTGTGTGTCTGGCTCTTCGCCATCATCCGAACGCCTTGTCGGTCAGTCATCTCATCGGTCATCGATAAAGCGTACAAGCTAGGTACACAGTCTCTGGTTTAGCTGTAAGACACTATCAACTATTATAAAAAAACGGGATAATTCTAGTCCTTATGAAGCATATCGCAGCTTGGTAGGGCAAGTGGCGCTGCGCGGTGCTTGCATGCATCTGGAATGGTTGCCTAGGACAAGCACTTTATTAGCAAGAGCATTTTAATTCGGCGCCGAGGCGCTGTCTGAGTGAACCCTCGGGTATAATTCTCTGAAGCAAGAGAGAAGTATAATGAACGCCAATGACAGCGAGAAAGCAAGATATTGCTTCCGGAAAGCCTTAACACAGTCTATTTTTAAGCTGGGATGTGTTTTGGGGACAGATTTCAGATTTAAGACGAAAAGACTATCGCAATTGACTTAAGAACCGCACTAGAATTGCACGAGCGCGTGCACCCCAGCCTTCGGGAACACCAGCAAGGGCAGCTTTTTTGGGCGTTTGGACAGGGAATTTACGCACTGAGCCTCTACCCTTGTCGGAGGACGCGTGGACATCGTCGGTAACGATGATCGAACTGTCATGATAACGAGGCAGTATTCCTCGCGTGTAAAATGACGCTAGTTGGCGGTTTCGCGATTGATTTATAGTTGAGGCTACGTTAGGACAATGATTGGGAGACCTTAGCACCTTAGCCAGTCAGCATAATAATCCGGCAGAGACAGTGAACAAGCAGTTAAATGTCGGGTCCCTGGACGCAAAAATTCCGAACAGGAAAGTCAGCCAGATGACATGAATGGTGCCAAACAATTTGTTCTTTCCACTGAAAACCAATATCAAATTTGGAAACACTAATGCTACGACCATTGTGGATCGTGTATGTGACGTTACGGGACGTATGCATGTATGCACTAAGACTGCACAGTCAAAATTCGACGAATCGTAACGCTGAAATAACCGGCTGTGTTCGTTAGTAGACGCTTTGGGGGACCGAAAGGAGTCGGTGGAGCAAAGACGGTGAGGAAATTGAGTAGAAAACATCCGCCGACCTCCACTAAGTGACTACGAAAATGAACTTCTCTCTAAAGTCCACAAGTGTGGGAAAGGTCTACGACAGAAAGAATGACTGAGACGGTCGGAACAAGGAAAATAGAGAACTCGTAAAGCCAGAAAATGTGCAGAGAAAGGACTAAACTCGAAACGCAGAAGTCGCTAGGGTGCAGTATAAAGATATACCGGTAAGGTGTAGAATATTGGACACTACCTCGTATTCGAAGAATTTGTCTTCCAGCGTCTTGTCCCCAAGAGCGTCACCAGAACCGTCGAACAGCGCTTTGTACTCCTGGGAACAGATTATAAGTTAAAAAAGCCTATCAATGCAAACGTAACCAGGGGCCTATTCCGAGAGATCTTCGCTTATATCCTCCACTGACAGTCGGTATGGAATATGAACTCACCATATACACTACTATTCAGAACTGATGGAATCTCCTAACAAACTCACTCTACATGGCGCAGCCAAAGGGGAATGACACGAGAAAAATGGAGAGAAAGGGCGAAGATAGGCGATAAGTGAAATTCTGGGACTTAATCAATTTCTAATCCAAAATTATGATGATGATAATAGGCGGAGCGTGGCAAGTTTTGACGGTCCATTCTTTAAAAATCAACGACCCGGCTGGGGGTGAACTGGAAGAAAAGAAGTGCCACGATCACAAGCGTGTAGCTTACTCAAAATAACATGAGACATCGGCCGCAACAGTCAAAATATTTGAGCGAACTCAGGTGATCAGGTGCAGGTGATCATCATCCGAGGTTGCAAGGGTGCAGTAACGAAAGTCCCTCTTTTTGGCTACCGCCAGATAGCACAAGCTCGCTTCTGGTGCGCTTGCGGCTGACGAGCGGTGGCGCTGCAAAAAGTTGCATAACTTTTATTGCTTTTCATTTTCACAGGCAAGTATAATGACTGTTCCGACGACCGACCCTCTTTTTGGGTTTTCATTTATTCGGTTTTCTAGATTCACCCTTAAATTCATATGGGTGGGGGGGGGGGAACGATATGATTTCGGGGGACGGTTACTTTGCATGACAGATCGTAATGATGACTCCTCAGTCGCACACCAGTAAAATCGAGAACCGCGCTTCACTTCAAATGGACGCTCATCCCACCTACATGTTGTTGGGATTTGGTAAGCTGGAGAAATATAATCGCTCCGACTGATAAATTCAGGGAAAAAGAGCTCCAACTCGAAAAGTTCACGGTTAAAGCAGTTGTTGGCCAGATGAAGCTTTCAGCACCATTAATTTCGAAGATATGGTCAACCGTGTTACGAAAAGAAAGACTCTAGTCGGCACTATGCTCCTACAATTTTGGTACATGTCTAGAGAACTGTACTGGAATAAGTGTATTATTTTTGCGGTGCTTGCAGGCGACAAGACACCGTAAAGGGTGGGAGTGGGTGGCACCGTATGGAACCTATGGGACTCGGAGTTTTAAGGGGAGAAAGTCGATAACATGTCACTTTAGATGGACGGTCACTGGCCGGAACTTAAGTTAACGATGGCTGAAGCTTACGTGCCATTCTCGTCTTCGTTGGTTGAACTTACCAGAATCTGTGAGTTCACAAAGCATAGAGTTTTTACAACTGGTATCTAGAACCACTGGCCATTTGAGGTGGTAAAAATAATGTTGCCCAACGCCGGCCAGAAAAATGCCAGATCAAAAAGTAATAAGATTGTGGCAAATTGAAGGATACTAGTTCGCTCACCCGATAGTAATCCGCAACATTTCGAACTTGGTCGTAATCATCAGCCTTTGCAAGGGCAGCAAGGCCGTAAGGATGGAGGCGACCGCAGCGTGGGTATAATTTAACCCGATCTTCCTTAGACAATTCAGTGCCAAAAGAGTTGATTGTAATTATAAATGCCCGGCGGTCAGCCTCAAAGGCTAACAACTGGCACATCAACTCGGCTGTAGCTCCGCCTAGTGATTTACACAAGGCATAGAAATCTTCCAGGTAGGCGCGGTACAATGTGTTCCGGATAATTTCGATATTAAGCTCGTCTAAATCGTGCTTCGAGATGCAATCAATAAAGTAGGGTGCTAAGAGAAGGATTAGGCGGGGAACTTTGCATTACCTAACGGTGTATCGACTAGTACAGCGGTGTACAGTTCCGCGGGCGTCGATGCAATATGCAGCGTCTCCATTTGCATGAACGTTCCTAGTGGATGGCATTTGGTGATGAGCTCCGAAATAGGCCGTTCGTGCAATGTTCCAGTGATAAGGAGGACAATGTTGTCTATCATATAGCTATATCTGTTGAAGAACACTATGAAAAGAGGCAGACAAAAATTACGTTATGTAGTCGAGGAAGAGCGCTAGTGGCTGGAAAGCCTGGTTACGCATATAGCGAAACTCGCTAACAAGCTTTTCACGCATTTTACTCTCGATTATTCCAACCGTCAAGGGTCCCGGTTCATTAGCCAAAAAGTTTCCATAATCAGTGTCTTGAAGATGCAACTTCAGATCTGCAAATAGATTGACAAGATCTAGGTATTACCTTCTAGGTTTTCACATTGAATGAGGACTAAATAATCTGATTGCTTCAGAAGACCTCCTTTAAGCCCCCGGACGAGACCCTCGAGGTACCCGTTATCAACATTAAAGTTGTAGACAGGGACGGAGTCGACTTCGTTCATCTTCACGAGCACAATACAACCGCTCTCAGAAGAGGGCCGACTAAAACAAACGCATTCATATCTCCATTTTTGCCTATACAAACTGAACTATCTTCTGCAGTTTGCAGTCGGAAACTCCTTACTAGCACAAAAACAGCAAAGGGGATCGACGTCAAGGTTTGGATCGAGAGAGGTACATTATATCTTCTACCCTAAATTCTTGTAAAAAAGTTGCTATATACAAAGCCCAGATTTTTAAAGTTCTCTGGCGGACAGGAGCACACGGTACTCTAACTAGAAATAAGAACCTGACTGGGTGCCTGCCCGACTCTGCACTCTCCATCGGCGGTACAGACATGTAATTGTTTGTTCATCATCTGCATCGAGGAGCGCTGAATTATTCGACTGAAGTTCGAGTCTCCTGGTTCAGACAGAATTCATCTAGTTCCCTTTTCACGACCAAGTTGATTAATTGGGGGAATCAGTATTGCGGATTTTAAAGTCTATGAAAAATGCGAATTGCCGGAGAAGTGGAAAACTTCCCTTAAGCGAAATGTTCCGACATACGTGGGGAGATCTGGGGTGGAGTCGGGAAGTTAGTGTTCCGCCTGCTTAACTAGTATTTTGTGCCAAATCAGGGAACAACTTATTTGGAGATATCGAGGGACATTCCTCAACCAGATGTATCTAACAGGGCTTTCGATGAGGTCGCCCTTGTCATACGAGTGTTCATTATTTGCAGGAAAAAGGATAATAATCGTAGGTAAGGACTGTTCAGTGGACTGCATTTTCACTAGCTTTTTGAAGGCGTTAGATTGAGCACACCATTTGTACTTGCAACAAAACAATTTAAAGTTTGCTGCCAAAGACGTAATTTCTAGGTGAATATGAGACTTCTTATCATCAGGCTGTCAAGATTTATAGATGGCATTACCGAATCGCAGTAAGTGCACTTACTGACATGTCAGTAGGTAGTGGTGCTGGATAAGCAAAAGGTCAACATCTTCTATTCACCCATACCGTCGACGGCGTGGGGAATTTTGACTGTGGCCATTATATTCGTTGATGACGCAAAGAATGGAAAACGATTTTAAGTGTTAAGGCGCAAAGAAACGGTAAGAAAACGATGGTAAACTGACCATCTGTTGCCCTAAAAGGCTAGTTAAAGTCACCTCCTAAAATACGGAGATTTCACAAATGAGCCTCAGTAAGGAGATGCCGAAACACACAAAGACCAAGCTTCCGGAAGGTCGTGAACGACGCTGCCAAAATGTAGCCCAAAACACCACCAAAAATTGCTCATTGAATTAAACGCACTTCAATAATGGAAATATTGCTGACAATGCTACCTTTCCTGAGTACGAGTTTGAAGAGAATATCGGAGTAAACATAGCACGGACCGAATAAACAGCAAAAACTCCTCAACTGGAATTTCAGGTTTGATCACGTTTTAAATAGTAAGAGTGTGCATGAGCATTGCCGTTCAAAGGCAGAATATTGTGGCTGAGGAATGACCAGGATCCGGAGCCGAATTCCTTGGTCTCAGAACTGGATGAAGGCCGAATTCCCAATTCCTTTACATAGAATGGAGGTTGTGTAAGTGACAAGCGGGTGGATGGGGAACTTTCCTTTCGCTGCGGGCGGAAGAATCAATTAATTTGTGACGGACAACAGTCAGCAGCATTTTCACTTGGAATATGACAAGACAGACCGGCTTAAGATAAATTAAGTAGATTCTGGCGCGTAAGTTATAGAAAAGCAGGGAATATAGTAGGAGAAGGATAGTTGTTCAACATATTTGCCAATTTTGAGGGATTTTGTGATATAAGTACAGCATTCCAGACAACAATTGCGATAAAAGGAAATAACTGACAATATAAAAGTGCGCGGGTAGAAACGAAAACAAAAGAACCTCGTGGTGATCAAAATGCATTAACGTAATGCGCGGTCAACTGCATGAGTATCTGGTTGCCTAAGTAGCCAAATAGGCCCTTTTAAGTTGGTGACATCGTAAAGAATCAGGGTCTAGTGTTCTGCAGCATCGTTTGTGTGTCAAATTACGATGTCGGTGTACAATTCTTACAGTACAGTATGCTTGAAGCAATCAGTTTCCTCCCGTTCAACAGTGGGAGGAGTGACTACCAGAAAAAAACAATATTCCAGTTCACATCCAACGTACAGTTTCTGATTTCATTAGTTTCTGTTTCATAGGGCATATTTGACTGTCCTATATGTTTTTGAGACAGTCAGGTTGCGAGGTTCCGAATGTGAACACTTGGAAAAGGATGTACGCAGATCTTCGATGATTTCTGGCATAGTTTTATTGTGATCAGAAATACTGAGATGAGTTACTTAGTTTTCGCCAATGCCCATAACTGGACATGCCCGCCAAATAAGGTAAAGCGGCCATGTGCGGGTTCAGTAGGCAGAAACTCATGGGTCATTTTAGGTGCTCAAACATAGTGTCCCAAGCTACCAGCAGTAGAAAAATCCAATATCTAGCTGGACAACTAACGCAAAGCACGAAATCACAAACTCATATGCTGATATACTGGTTTTCCTTAAAAATAATCACTTATCCTAATGCTATGACAGTGTTGGACCTTCCTTTTGCTGTTGTGGTTTCTATTAATCTATCGTAGGTATGCATGAAGTGCCCCATTTTTGAGATTCACAAAAGCACCTCTTGGACACTATCAGTCTCATAAGAACACAGCGGCGCATAATGCAGACTGAACAGCATAGTTAGAGGAGTTGAAAAACTAACCAACAGGACATGGGATCAGGCCCCAGGTGTTCCATACTTCGGGCTTTGGTATGGCTGGCCGATGATGGCTAATAAGCCGGAAATGGCCATTCCAGCCTCCCTTGTCTTTGTTGATGGTGTTACTCTGCCTCTGTTCACGCTTGCGTCACCCTGGGGATAGATGTGCGTTCAGGCACAAAGCCAGTCGCGTGTTTCGAGATCTGACCATCATTAGGTCTCTGTGCAGAAAATACATTTTCTCTATCGTGCTCTTTCCCCTCGCCTCTAAAGCTGGACTGGACTGTAACTCCCATGGCGCTCTGAGGACGCTCACTACTTGGATACTATGATATCCCGCGTCTCCTCAGTTCATATATAGCCTCGTGTTTTTGGTATTTTAAAACATCCCAACCGTCCATTATCAAATTAGTCCGCCTTTAGAATATTTCATAATCAAAGTGTAGACCAGCTGCCTACAACTGAGGCAGATTTTCTTACCTCTTACGGACGGAAATTCTGCCAAGTCTGCCTTAGTATGTGCTTTCCTATCACATAAATGTAACTCCCGCAAATAAAGCCAAAACATTTTCACTTGCTTATTTTGCATATGCTAGAATGCTGGGGCTCTTTCGTTGGTATAATGGCTATCAGTGAGAGTGGCTAGTCGAAAATACTGGGAAATTTTTACTAGAAAACCTTTTCCAGGTTGAATCTAGTATTTCTTATATCCCGATTATTTGGATGGTCTGGAATTTTTATGTGCTAGAATGCTTGGAACTGATTCTTTCTTCTTGGCTTGTCTCAGTCCGAGGCCATATCATCCGCGTGTTGACGTCCTTATGCACACGGATCGGTTTGATTATACGCATACATCCTTCATGATAACTTCACCTCCATTGCCCTACTCATAAGAGTCCTGCTTCCATTGAGTCTCGATATAATTTCCTATGGGATAGCATAGTAGCATTCCATAGCGACTGGATGTATTTTTATCGTGACTTCTCGCAATGGGGATGTTGCGCTATGTGGTTGGGTAACTGGACTGAACCATCAGTACAATCACTGATTATCTTCTTTTGACGGACGCTGATTGTGAGAGCGCCACACCGCCATTATTGCGTGCATGCAACGTGCTGTGCGTGCTATCCAGCGCCACATCATGCTGTGCTATATACCTCTTTCATCCTATTTAATCATGTATTCTTATGTCTATAAAGTTCAGGCGCGAATTAATACGTATTTCTAGATGATGTGTGAAGGGGGATAGCAAGGAAATATCTATAAAAACAGAAGATTGGGTGGATGCAATTGTCCCCAGTAACAGACGTCATTAAACAAATGATTCTGAAATGGAGTCGTCATCTGACTGCTCAGAAGACTTGGATTCCAGCAAAAGTGAACACATGAGTCCTTAAACATGCTTTGCAAATGGTGTCCTATGCGCAGGAAGCTCTACCAGAACCGACAACGTCATCTTTAATGATGACTTGCCAATGCGCTGATATTTGACTGAGCACCGCACGTTACTCGTGTATTAAATGGACACAAGTATCATGGGCCCCAATGAAGTGTCTCGGTGGAGGAACAAGGTTGAATTCGCAGCCTAACTGAAACATGAAAGCATTCCTGACATGTTCGATATCAAATCTTAGTCTTAGAAAATCGAAGCTATTTGTAGCATTGACAGTGACTAGAAAGGCTTACCTTTTAATAACGATCGGTTCCTTTTCCGAAAGCATACGTGGAACCAGAATATTGATATAGAATATTTTAAAGCCCGTTTTCTCCATCTGTTCGCGGAGTACGATGGTCGTTAAGGGAAAGGATGAAAGACTTGTGAAATGCTTCAAGCCTATTCTCTCGCTGAAGTAGAAAAGGAATAATTTAATAGTCGTAAGCATGGGCAGAACGGTTGGTAAAGAAACGGACTGCAAAGGAATTAAATGGCACCTCATAGTTAGTTAAGAGCAAATGTTTAAAGTGTGGTTGAAGTGAACTTGTAGCTATCTCGTGTGTCTAAATTTATTCCGACGTCTTTGGTCATGCGTTTGACTGGGGACTAGGTTATAAGGCCTTTTAATATCGTGAACTATCCGCCGGGCGAACGCAATGTAAACTTCTGCGAGATTACTTGGTAGCCCTTTTCCGTTATATTCGAGGAGGTAGAACATGCCGCCAAATTTAGCATCTTTGCGCCAGCTCACTTTCTACTTATTGTACTCTTTGATAGGTTCGAACTTAATAATAATAATGATAATATTAATAATAATTGTAT